CTCCCCTTTCAAAGTGTCAAACACACAGTCTCTTGGTCAGTATGGTGCAATATTTCTGAAACTAATGTGCAATATTCTGTTTCAAGAATTAATGTGCATTTTTCTTTACTCTCAGTCAAATACAATTTTTAAGGATTTTTAATACATTCCACCTGAACATTATCTGTACTTATTACTTACTACTACTATTTTTTTTTTTAGCATTACACTTCTGTATAGCCTATTGTAAAATAATGTAAATTTCCCACACTCTATTATATATTTTTATATTTATTTTTAGAATGTATACTTTGTTATATTCTATTTACCAACTTTCTATCAATATTCTATTCCTTTATGCTTTGATGGACAAAGTGAGCAAGTGTGACACAGGAGTTTCTTCTCAGGGACCAATAAAGTATTTCTGATTTCTGAAGCAGTACCAGCGACGAAACCCAGCACTCGAGAAAAATGAGAAGACACCCACAACAGCCACTAAAACCAAGACACTCATCACCTTGAGAAGAGCCATCTCAGCAGTATGAAAAACTGTATAACCACACTGAAACTCCACTTTAACCAGATTAAAACACCATCACAGCAGTTCCAGTACCTGATAAGTAAGCTGATGTTGTTGTTTTTAAAACAAAAAAACTTTAACCCCATGACATCCATTTTATTTCTCCTTCAGTAGCTTAAATGTTGTTAAAATTGTCTTCCCCCCCCCCCCATTCTGTCAGACAGATCGTGTATATTGTGTATGACCTTGCTCCAGCTCCAGTGTGAGTTTGAACAATGCAAGACATGACTTCGACTGACCCATGCCAGGACATTGAGGATGAACATGTTTATAATGTGGTAATATAAAAACTAACATGCGTTTCCCTACAGTATTTAGTATATGATTTCGCTTCAATTTAAAATCTCTACCACTTGACAATATAAAAAATGCACTTTGAACCATATTTGTGTATGTCTATGCATACCTGACAGAAAAAATCTGTTTTTGCTTGACTGCTCCATTTATCTCTTTCTTTCCACTATAATACCACTAAATTACTCTAATAATGTCAAAGTACACCACTTAACATGAACAAACATAGGTGTAATTAGATTGCTCAAGTAACCAAAACTATCTGCATGGCTCGGTTTCACTGGAAATACTGGCCATTCAAGTAAATGTGATTGGGATCCTGTTATGTTTACCTGAGTAAAGGGTATAAATGCTTGTTCTTGTGCTTTCTTTTTCCTCACTCTGCACTTCACACCCATTAAACTGAGCCACGAGCAACAATGTCATTCACAGTCATCCCTGATACAGTTGCCATGCTATGAGAGAAACAGGAAAGGTGTAGTGGGTTTCTGTGACAGAGGGACAATGTGTTGTATCTCAAGTGATTGCCAACAGTTAGATTTCATCCAGGCAGAGGCTTTGAATAGAAAAGCATTGACCAAAAACAGAAGCAAAAATAAGAACTAATCCCCAAGGATTACTCCGGCTTACTGCCATTCTTACCCACTCACAGCACCTTAACCACACCCCAGTGAAAGGGATGAGGAGGGTTACTGTGTAAAGATGGATGAGAGTGGAGGGAAAGAAGATTATAGTGAACACAGTGACAGGGAAGACAGAAACAGAATGAGCTGGTGTAGGACAGGTAAGCTGAATAGGGTAAACAGTGGGAGAGAGGTAGTAGATAGATGTGGGTAGGAGTGGGCACAGAATGGCATGTTGGGAGATAAGAGCAAGGCTTGCCTGAGAAAAAAAAACACGTTAAAATATAGAATAGAAACGTAAAAGTCAAATAAAACTATCCAACCTGCATGCTGCTGTTTGAGCACCCCACAGACGTGGCAGCTCACTGATGGATCATCTTACCTCTTTCGAAGGGGGCGTCACCTGGGGGCACGTCGGGCTCCTCATATTCCATAACTCTCCCTTCAAAACACTGGGTGGGCCCTACACTCACCTCACACACATAAACACACACCTGATATGTCAGTCGGTTTTTGAACTCCGCCTGCCGCCATTTGACTTAGAAGGTAATGTGACAAACCTCGAGCTCATGGGCTACCTGTTGGTTGTTCTAGCGCCCGGGACGGCGCAGGCATTTGAAAACATACACTGCCATCTCGCCTCCTTCCCGTCCTTACAGCAGCTCCCAAAACTCGGTCGTCATCCTCTTACCCTCTCTGTCAGCCTCCCTTGCTCAACACTATACCTCCTCTTATGTGGTTGTTTTGAAATAATTTAATTCCCCCCGAGGCGGCAGCAACAGCAGAGGAGAGAGTACAGCTGGACCGTTCCAAGCCATGCGCCCCGGCCCCCCTCCCCGCGCTCCCCGTGCGCACTGACCGTCCCAGGCTGGAGAGAGTTATGTCACCGGCTGTTACGTAATAGCAGCGGATCGGGTTTTGCTCTGTGGTGCTCAGTTGAGAAATATAATCCCATGTTGCTGCCACAAATTTCCCCCACACTAATTGAGGGAAATACAATGCATAGAGAGGTGACATTTAACTCCAGTTGCAGGTTTGGCCGTTTTTACTTCACGGCTAAATGGGAAATAACAAAACATAACTCCTGTTCATAGGCAGGTTAATGGCTTGTTAAAACCACCTGCAGGGCTCTGTGCATGCATAATATACATAGGGGAGGTGTTTTAATAATGGCACGCAATCCCTCATTTTAACTGAGGTAGGAAAACAACTGCAGACCCGATGAATAATCGATATGTCTTCTCCGTTTACATCATTGTGGTAAATGCTCCTTTTAGACATTGCGCTTACACTAAGACCACACACACACACACACACACACACACACGCTGCTAGTGGTGGAATGTACTAAGTACATTTACTCAAAGATTGCAGGCCTACTGAGCTACTAGTACTTTATTAGAATATTTCCATTTTCTATACCTCCCCACATTTCAGATGCATACAGGCTATCTGACAGCTTGAGTTACTGGTTATTTAATATTTACAGGCAAAAATGTTCAAAAATGTCAGCCTGCCACAACATTAACATGCTGCTGACATTCATAATAATACAGTAATAGTATAACTTTGACATTCTGCTGTATACTTTTCTCATAATATATACTTTTACTTGAGTAAGATTTTAAATGCATGACTTAAATGTATTTTAATGAGTATTTTTACCATGTGGTATAGCTATGTTTACCTAAGTAAAGGATCTAATGCTTGCACACAAATAATGAACAGGAGCAGGCCAAATTAATCATTAAATCTAAAAAATAAAAGCTTTTTTAAAAAAGCAATGCCATTACAAGTTAACAGAGCAGACATTCCTCTGAACTGCTCATTTTTTCTGACCAACAGTTAAAATACTACTTAATCCTATTTTTAACTTAACTGACAATTTTCTGTTAATTTTGTTTTGTTTATAGATTAAGTCAAACAGGCTACTGAGCATTTCAAGGGGATGTTGTGCTTTCAGACTAATATCTGAAGTAAAAATCAGTTCTGGAAGTGCTGCAGTGGACGCAGAGCTTGCTGCAGGTGGTTTTAACTGAAAGTTGAAAACAACTGCCCCCACTCTGTTCCTCCCCCCCAAACCCGCTTCCTCAAACCCAACTTGACCACATGGCTCTTCAGGGGAAGAGAAAAAAACTGCCGGTGTTCATTTGTCCTGTATCCGCTACCCAACCCACACACACGAAAAAAGGTTTTAGACACTAAGGTAGCATCTGCACTTTACTGAGGTTAAATATGTGAGGGGCCCTCAGAAGCCCACCAGGCCTGAACAGTGATGAGTCCATACACTCAGAAACCACACATCAGCCAAAACTGTGTGAGAACCAAAGTTAAATGCAGTTAAACGTGTGCAGGGTTGGTACACTTGTAACCACTAATTTAATGCGAAAACAAAACCTCACTTTGCAGCACCTGCTAATAAGTAACACTGTATAATGGTGGCTGCAATAAGAATTTACTTTGTAACTGTCACATTATTTTGAGTATTTTAAGCTGTGTGTCAAATACATCAGTGGAAGGCATTTGAAATAATTCACCAATATAACAAGCAGTGATTGAAAACAGGAAATGTTAAGAAATTACATTTTAAGCTCCTTTTTACATTTTGCTTGACTCGAGCAGAATACATTGACATGTTTGCTATGTTCCGCCAGTACGTCAAGCACAAAGTAAACATTAGTGTTCAGCAAGACAAAGTGTTGGGAGGAATGTCAACATTACATTCTGAGGCAGATGTTCCACAGTCCAATGTAAATCAAAGAATGCAATGTTTTCAACCTATAGTCAGTACAGTATGTGCGTAACCCAAAATATGCCCCATTTGCTTTCAGGTGTTTGTCATAAGCGCACTCTTTAGCATCGTGGTCTGCAGTAGCTGCCAGAGCAGCACAGATCTCTGTGGTGTGGGCAGTGTTACTTATTATGGCACATTGTGGCATGCCTCAGTCATCTCTGACTGTAGAAACATGTTCAAATTGTCAAAGTGAGTGAGATGAACCAGTCTATAAACAAGTTGACTTAGTGTAATCGCTAGAATGATCATTTGGCGTTTGAACCCCTTGTGTCTCTATTGTAAGTCATGATATTCTCATATCATGCAAATTCACACATCATTCTGACATATGACCACATCCACCACATGGTGGGCTAACAGTTAACAACCCACACCTCAAAATCTTGTTGGCTGAAAGGTTACAAAAATTAGATAAACATTAAATCCGTACTTCCTCTAAGTGCATACATTACAGAAAAAAGCAGCAAATTCTGCTTTCATTTTGTCATATTTTTTTGTACAAATCCTGACTTTTGGCAAATATAGCAAGATCAGTATCTGTAAATTAAACCTTATAAAATGTACCACATATGCTGTTAGTTATATTAGTAGTTTAACTATCAAGTTTGATCAGGGGATTAATTCGTTTAGATACATACACATACTATATGTACACTATTGTTTTAAATATTGTTTTTCATCATACCAAGAGAACTTCATTTTGTCATTTAAATGTAGGTGCAATCAGACGTCTAATTCATTCTTTTTTTTTTATTCTGAAGCAAAAACCTCAATATATTAACCAAAAAAACAATGCAATTTTATTTCCTGTTGCAAACAATTTCACTTGTTGAAAATCAAACAAACACATACATACCATATACAATACCAATAGGCAAGGAATATATTGGAGAAAACTAAATAGTCATGTACATTTTGAGCAATAACTTCACTTCTAAAAAGGCCCCAGTGTTACATAAAACTATCAATATTGTAAACATTACAATAAGTACATTTAGTTCAATAAATACTGTTTAGATATGTACTGTCAGTGTGTTAGTAACACTAAGCAGAGGTAGTCATGTAAAAGTACTTCATGAAACTTAAATGTTTGTTAGTAATAGCATATTGGCCAGCAGAGATACATGAATATTAGGATATATTAAAAAAGTTTGTGTAAAACAATGTCATATTTAGACAAGTTATCTCTTAAATCACCAAGTACACACTCCCCCAAACAATTCTCCAAACTAATCACACACTCACACACACTCGTTGTGGCCTCTGCTTGCTGACAGTGCTTGGGTAAATAGTAGACTGGTGCGTTTGTATCATACTCCCAGTAGTAGGTGGCTGACATTGACTGACAGGAACAGTGCTGCACAAGAGGCATAAAAGAAAAGTGAACAGTGACAATACAGAAGGATGAAGAGCAGAGATGAGAACCAGCCACAAGCTTTCACACTGACATGTTCCATCAGATACATTGCGCGTATAAAAATGTACCTTACCTGTTGTTTCTGTGTGCACTCTGGAGCCGTCAGTGCTGGTCACTTTACACGAAATATATGTTTTTCTGCCTTCCTTCTTATCCAGACAGGATTCAAGCAACACTGTGCTTCCCAGTGGGATGGGGCTTGGGACAGGACAAGTGTTTGTTAAAGCAAGCAGACTATCAACGATAATAGTAATACAACATTAAAGACTGATTGATTTGGCATCATCATTATTATTATTTTGATATTTGGGTTAAGGAGAGCACTCATTTATCATTGAAAAATTAGAAAACCAGAGCATTTTGGGCTGACAAATCTGTGTGTGGTGTGTCGTTACAACTACTACAAAGATTGCTGAACTGACTATTTAATTTGTGCATTATACACACATGTACACACACACACACACAGACCCTGACAGCTCATCGCTCACCGTACCTGATTGAAATGGGATGATAAAATATACATCAGGGTGTAATATTAGTTATAAACACAAGAGTCTTCAAATATACTGTTGTCGATCATTATACTAACCAATTGAAAAGTTGCATTTCTGGTAAGGTATTTTACAACTTGGCGGATATTTAATATGTATAACAAAAAATATTTACACAACAAATCAACTGTTTCATGTCTATAAAAAAAATATTCTTCCTGTACCTGCGGTAGTTGATGTTGAGATTGGCAGTCATCACAGGTCCAGAGAGCAGAGTAGCGAGACTCCCTGTCACAGTATCAATCATAGTGGCTATCGCCCCCCCATGGACATATCTGGAAACATACAAAATGTTAGACATCAAATCCAAAGTTTAAAAGCGCAGTTTTGTGAGTTCAGATTAAAAAACCTATTTTATGAAAAAATTCCTGTTTCAATTAATTTATTTGGCCTTTTTCGTGCTGATTATACAGAGACAGGCACAAAATAAGGGGGGGGAGAGAGAGAGAGAGAGGTGTGATAAAGGTCCATGGCTTACATGTTGTGCGCATGCCTACTGAGGCGCCTCACACTTCGTATTTCAGACCAAGACATAACATAACGATAAAATGTGCAAATGTTTTAAAAAGTAAAATTACTTTAGTGTTTACAGTGTGAGGTACATACAAATATTTTAAGATAACAAGCACATACATTTATACACAAACTTGTTATCTTACCCTGGTGGCCCCTCCAGTAGATGTCCTGCCTGGAAAATGCACACACACTTCTGCTCCTCACTGTTAACAAACAAAACATACTCAAATGCTGCCCCGGGGTCTCTCATGTTCCGGGTAAAAAGACGAGCTTTTGACTGGATCATTTTACTAAGATGCACTCCACCTGATGGGAAAAACACACAAGTCACTTGACAGAGCATCCCAGGAGAAAAAAAAAGAAATAAAAACAGGTGCAGGTTGTAGGGTAGCAAACATTTATATTTAAAGATTTAATATTTCTAAATGTATAGTAATTCATGATACAAATCACAATCTGAGATTATCACATCCAGAAGTCAAATCAGTGTACATATATGTATATATGCATTTCTCTTTGTACCAACAAGGAATTGGACAATTAATATGAGGATATTTTAAAATAAAAAGCCAACTAGTTAATACAATATGTGTGTACTGTCTTAAGTGTCATAATAGCTACGTCTTCAGTTGCACAAACACCATCAAGCTGTTTCACTGGAACCAGCAATAACATTTGGGAGCAGTGGTTGTGAACACGGCGCAGCGCTGACTTAAAGAGGCAGTATTCTGCTCATTTAAGTTCATAATCTTATTTAGGGGTTGTACCAGAACACGTTTACGTGGTTTGATTTTCACAAAACACCATATTTTTTTGTCATACTGCACATTGCTGCAGCTCCTCTTTTCACCCTGTGTTGAACACTTTGCTTTAGCTGTGAAGTGACACATCTTGTCTCTAAATGATCTTTGTTGGGAGAGAAGGGTGGGCCAATGAGAAGCCAGTAAACACGCTTCTCAGCTGTACATGTTGCCTGGCAACATGGACTGGAGCAAGAGTTTCAGAGTGGTGAGTTACTAATCTGTAACAAAAGTATCTTTCATCCATAAAGTTTTAACTGAGCTCTGTCTCTACATCACTGTAACAACTTTATGTCCATTGACTGCCTGGAGGGTAGCTAGTGTTTAGAAGGGAGAGGAGAGGTGTGTGCTGCAGCTCAGTGTTTTTGGAAACGGCTGGACTACAAACGACCTGTTTTCAAGCAGTTCAGAGCAGTGTTTTCTGTGGGAGATGGGAACTCCCTTTGGGCTGGACTTTGGGCTTTTTCACTTTGCAAACCTATTACATGCCCAAAAAAGGTATATAACTCAATAAAGGAGAGTGGAAAATCCAAAAGGCATAATACCACCTCTTTAACGTGATGCTGGTTAGAAATTGTGTCCGACTTTCGCCGGCTCTGCAAAACGTCACCATGACACATGACATTAAAACCTCGTGGGAGCAAGGTGGCTGCAGTTGCTTTTCTCCAGCTGCACAAAGTTTGAACCACCTTTTGCTTGATCTCGCAACATTTTTCTTTGCAAACGCCGCAAGATTAGTCATTGATCTCAGCCCTCAGTAAGCTCACGCAGGTAGAATGTGTCCGACTAGACGGTGCCATTTTTATCCCCCGCCCCTGGAGTCGCCTGCAGCTCACGTTATGCAGCATTCAGACCAAACGCAAATTTAATCCACGCAACGCTCTCCTTCCAGGGGTTTTATTGCTGGACAACTGCTGAGTGTTCACACATGACGCGATAATGTGACGAAACACAACTCACCATTACTAAAGCTGTATGAACCCAAAGTAAACATTTTGCTGTGATTAAATAGCAATAAACAGATTAAATTGATGCTGAAATAACTACAATATAATGCCGATTTGTTAAACATATCAATTCATGCTTTGTCAGGTCTGTCAGCAAGACAGCAGGACAACAACTTCTAAAATGTTTGTTTTCTGAATGGAGTTCGGATCGATCGGGGCTATGCTATGCTAACTTGGTCACAGTAAAGTACAACGATAGCTGGAATAAAGTAACGGACACATCTTTTCTGAACTCAGGTAGTTCAACTTCCTCGCTTTCTTTTCTCCCAGCAATGTCCAGTTTTGTCTGTTTTTTATATAAATATGAAGTAGTAGTCTAACAGAGCTCTGGGTGCTAAACGACGCTAACAACAACACTGGAACCGGATGTGCTCAGAAGCTCACTGCTGAGAAGCTCCAGTTAAGATAAATCATCGTTGTAATCCCAAAAACTAAAGTAAAAAAGCTAATTTAATAAAAGCAGTTTACTCCGAGCTCCTCTGGCGAGTAAATGGCGTAGTTGTCAGAGCATAATCCAGACTTACTACGAGTGTTTATTTGTCCAAAAGCTGCAGCGCTGCTCCCTGCTCCTCTCCCCCATGTTTAGCAGCTCTCCATCGGCCAGCAGATTTTTAATCTTCCGCTCTGTGAGGCCCTCTGCACACATCGCTCTGAAGCCATCGGTGACATACGGAAAGTCTCACCGCTGATAGGCTATCGCGACTCAGCGTCATGTGACTTTCTCGCTTGAGTTGAAAATATTTAACTCACGCGAATTCCTTTGCGTTGCATTCGCTTTGCCTTTGCGTTGCTGGCCGGACAGCTAAATGAACTGAAACTCACTATGCAGCTCTGACCAGTTGTTCCAAGTTTACAAAAAATAGTAGTTGTCTATTCACACCCTCAAACCAGTCCTGATCAAACTGTGCCCTAGAACATAAGGCACAAAATAAAAGGATATTTTGTTAAAATACAAAAGAAATAAAATCAATGCAGATTCATCTTGTGCTTGACCGCTGCATTATGGCTAAAATCTCACAAACCAAACAAGCAGGAAGACAAACAAAAACATCACAGTCTGCACTTTTACCTGTAGCATATTTGAGGAGGCGATTGTAGCTTGGCAGTCTCCTCCATGGGCCTTCCTGTTTCTCTCCCCCCTCTGTCTCCACCTCACACAGACTGTTATAATGCTCGTACAACCGCATCATTTCTGGGCCCCATGAGGAGTTCGGCAAGCTGAAGTCCCGTGGCTTGGAGGAGAAGGCCGATGGATTCTACTTTTACAAAGATAATAATGTTCAGCTTTGATTTGGCACTGTGTGGTAGAAAATTACTGCACATGTATGTACACTGCTGAATCAGTTCAGTTCAATGTCCTTTATTGGCATAAATGTTTAATTTAAACAGTGTTGCTAAAGCAGTTTCAAAATCTAAAAGTTTACATTTGAATAAGACATAAGATTAATTCAATCAAATCCATTAAATTTAGCTGATATAAATTATAAAAACAAAATAAATACATTTACGACATAAACTACAAATAAAAGTGAACAAGATTTAACCTTCCATGCAGCAATGGTTAAGTGCAACAGTTGGCTCAGTCACTTACTGTCCCTCAGGTTGTGACACATACTTGGGGGCAAGGTTTGCATTATGTCCTTCTCCTATGATTATTCTTTATTTAGTGTTACCTTCAAGTTTAAAATCTGCCATTAATAGATGAAATTTCTCAAAATTTCTCTATTAAGCTTCTGTATTTTGTCTCCCAAAGCATTTTTTTAAGTGGTAATTTGGTTCACTCTAACTGGTGTTTGTAAAGCAGCGCTGGCTTGAGAAAGGTGTGTGTGACATGTTGCAGGATTTGTTAGTCTCAGGATTAGCTGGCATAAGGGACTATTTCTTGGGTTTTAAGAGCCTTGAATTGGAGGGAGTCTTGGGGACTCGATCTGAGGTGCATCAAAAAATTCAGTGCAATGGGCATTGCAACATTTAACGTCAGAGAAGGTTCAGACTATCCAGTTGTAAAGACTAGAAGACCTTGGGGTGTCTCAATTTTTTTGAGAAGTACTTAATAACTCCGAAGGGCCATACACAGCCCTCTTTATGTTCCTGTTTTCTTGGGTATATTTAACCTATTAAGAGTGTTTTTATCAAGCATCACACTGTCAGAGAGGTTTTAATTTCACTACAATGGGTTTCTAATATTCTTCCTCCTCATGTTTATAAATGGGTTGGTCTAAACATTTGAAAACACCTCTCAATATAATGTAGTCCAGTTCAATACCACTGCAAACTACAACCTCAATAATAAACACTTACCCAATAAAAGTAACAACTAAGACACACTATTGGTCAAATGTTTTAGAACACCTCAATTTTATAGTTTTTATTGAAATATAGTTTAAATCCAGTAAAAAAAAACTTAAATGGTACGTAAGCCGCAAATTGCCAAAGTTAAAAAATTATTTTTACATCACCAAAACAGACATTTTCAGAGATATAAAAGTTTTGTTCATTGTTTTGTTAATACATCAAAAGAAGCTTTATTTGCACAATATTACAACTAAAAAGGCAATTAATTAAGGAAGGTTGATCAGTTCCAATGTTTGTTTTTTTTTATTTAACCTTTATTTTATCAGTGGAGAAGATCCACTGAGATAAAATCTCTTTTCAAAACACAGTACATTATGATGTCTTCATGCAGGTAAAATACACTAATGGAGTGCTTGCTCATTTAAAACCTTTACATTCAAAATAAATTTAATTGGCAATTTTATTTTTGACAATGTCTCAGTTTTAAAGTTTGGCAGTTTGCTGCTTACTTGTTTATCATTTAAGATTTTTCACTGGAGTTGAACTACTTATATTTCAATAAAAACTAGAAAAAATTGGTTTATCTAAAACTTTTGACCAGTGGGCCTATAATGTCAATATTGCAACATAAAATTAAATATGCTGTGATATAGAATTCTATGTATGTTGCCCAGCCCTTATCATTCCATTCATAAAAAAATTATCAAAAGACTAAACAATATATTGATTGCAAAATAGCCCAGCTACAATTAAATTTAAAGGCTTAAAATGAACATTTTCATTTCAGGGCTGCATAATTACGCATAGACGTTTTTTGTTTGTTTGTGACCATATTGACTTGACTGTTATATTTTCAGTTCTCCTGTTTATATACAGTGGTTACGGAAAGTATTCAGACCCCTTTAAATTTTTCACTCTTTGTTTCATTGCAGCCATTTTCCAAAAATCAAAAAAGTGTATTTTATTTCTCAGTAATGTACACTCAGCACCCCATCTTGACAGAAAAAAACAGAAATGTAGAAATTTTTGCAAATTTATTAAAAAATAAATACTGAAATATCACATGGTCATAAGTATTCAGACCCTTTGCCGTGACACTCATATTTAACTCAGGTGCTGTCTATTTCTTCTGATCATCCTTGAGATGGTTCTACACCTTCATTTGAGTCCAGCTGTGTTTGATTATACTGATTGGACTTGATTAGGAAAGCCACACACCTGTCTATATAAGACCTTACAGCTCACAGTGCATGTCAGAGCAAATGAGAATCATGAGGTCAAAGGAACTGCCTGAAGAGCTCAGAGACAGAATTGTGGCAAGGCACAGATCTGGCCAAGGTTACAAAAAAATTTCTGCTGCACTTAAGGTTCCTAAGAGCACAGTGGCCTCCATAATCCTCAAATGGAAGACGTTTGGGACAACCAGAACCCTTCCTAGAGCTGGCCGTCCGGCCAAACTGAGCTATCGGGGGAGAAGAGCCTTGGTGAGAGAGGTAAAGAAGAACCCAAAGGTCACTGTGGCTGAGCTCCACAGATGCAGTCGGGAGATGGGAGAAAGTTGTAGTAAGTCAACCATCACTGCAGCAATCCACCAGTCGGGGCTTTATGGCAGAGTGGCCCGACGGAAGCCTCTCCTCAGTGCAAGACACATGAAAGCCCGCATGGAGTTTGCTAAAAAACACCTGAAGGACTCCAAGATGGTTATAAATAAGATCCTCTGGTCTGATGAGACCAAGATAGAACTTTTTGGCCTTAATTCTAAGCGGTATGTGTGGAGAAAACCAGGCACTGCTCATCACCTGTCCAATACAGTCTCAACAGTGAAGCATGGTGGTGGCAGCATCATGCTGTGGGGGTGTTTTTCAGCTGCAGGGACAGGACGACTGGTTGCAATCGAGGGAAAGATGAATGCGGCCAAGTACAGGGATATCCTGGACGAAAACCTTTTCCAGAGTGCTCTGGACCTCAGACTGGGCCGAAGGTTTACCTTCCAACAAGACAATGACCCTAAGCACACCGCTAAAATAACGAAGGAGTGGCTTCACAACAACTCCGTGGCTGTTCTTGAATGGCCCAGCCAGAGCCCTGACTTAAACCCAATTGAGCATCTCTGGAGAGACCTGAAAATGGCTGTCCACCAACGTTTACCATCCAACCTGACAGAACTGGAGAGGATCTGCAAGGAGGAATGGCAGAGGATACCCAAATCCAGATGTGAAAAACTTGTTGCATCTTTCCCAAAACGACTCATGGCTGTATTAGATCAAAAGGGTGCTTCTACTAAATAATGAGCAAAGGGTCTGAACACTCTTTTTTAAGAAATTTGCAAAAATTTCTACATTTGTTTTTTTCTGTCAAGATGGGGTGCTGAGTGTACATTACTGAGAAATAAAATGAACTTTTTTGATTTTTGGAAAATGGCTGCAATGAAACAGAGTGAAAAATTTAAAGGGGTCTGAATACTTTCCGTACCCACTATAGGAATGCGCTTAACACACCAGTGCCTGACATTGCATCACACAGGCTAACTATACCCACCACTGAACTGAGAAACATCTGGAAGGAGAACCCAGATGAAACCCCCACTCATTTCAAGCCCCTTTCTTTAAAACAGCTGATGTTACCTACCACCACCGTCCGTACAAAGCTGGTCCTGAATGAAACGCTGGCAGGCGGATGGCTGCTGAGTTGAGTCTGTATGGATGAGCGTGAGCCGAGGCGTTGAAAGCCCTTGAATATTCGACCGAGGCTCCTTGCCATCTGTACGCTGTTTCAGCTGAGGAGGATGGTGGCAAGCTGGCACAGACTCTGACAGACCTGCCTGTATTTTGATGTACCTTAATGTTAATTACATATATGTAAACGCCGGTAACTGTTGTTATGAGTCTTCTGCCAAACGCATTTCCTAGCTAACGTTAGCTAGCGCCGGAACAAAGTAGCTACTATCGTTGCTGTAAACACTGAGCTGCTTTCTAATACACCGTAAACATGTTTAGGGTTATATTTTAAGAGAGTATCACACCATATTTGTAACACACTGCGGTTGTTTTACCGTTGACTTTCATGTGTCATCCGATCAGCGCCTCATGTCAACTTCCGGCATTGTCATTTAGGTCACATGGTGTACGCATTGAACTGTGATTGGTCCATAGTCTCTTTCATGATTTTGTTTTTCAGGTTTCTAGATACTATTTTGCATGGGTACATAGTATTTTACATAAAAACTGCTAACATTCAAACCCATAACATAACACAGGATTTCTGTAAATGATACTACATCCACTAAATACAACCCTGTGAAGGAATTACTTTCTTCATCGTGGAGGAAAGTTAATGACCACAATACACATCATCAGATGCCCATCTTTAGTGGATGATGGAAGATTGTGATGGATGGATTAGATCAGGCACGCAAAAAGATTATTACCCAGGTGAGTAGGCCTAAGTTGTGATGTGGATGAATGCCAAATGCAGAAGACAGGGATGACCAGCACTGCTGAACAGAAATATCTATCCTCTACATCAGGGCTCCTCAACTACTTCTGCTCAAGGGATAGACTTTCTCTAAGCAGATGCCGCAAGCCCGGACATTATAAAAAGTTTTTTATTTAGACTTAATTAGCATACTAGTGTTTAAAATTTTCAATTTTACAAACCAAATGTTTTTTATTAGCATATATCACTGTGAACAGACTCCTAAAATATGCCAAATCCATCCAAGTCAGTCTGCTATTCAGCCTATTTGCAACATTAATAGTGCATGTGACACCTGTAGTTACGGTGGTAAAAGCAAATGCGGTTTAATAGGCCTACTATTAACCCACAGAAGTCTGGGGCAGCTAAAGAAATGATTTATATTTAGCTGCCTTCACACCGAAAGCGAATTTAATATTCGCCTCGCTTTACTCGTTTCACCGCTGGACATTTTGAGTGTTCACACACGCGCGTTGTAAGCGAAGAAACACAGCCCGCGGATACTACAGCTATATGAACACTAAATAAACACTTGGCTGCAATAGCAATAAACGAATCAAACTTATGCCGAGATAACTACAATAGGATGCCGTTTTGTTAGACATATGAATTCATACTTTGTCAGGTCTGTCAGCAGGACAACAACTTTTAAAATACGTGTTTTCTGAATGGAGTTCGGATTGATCAGGGCTATGCTAACCTGTTCGGAATAAAGTTAGACACATTTTCTAAACAAGGTAGTTCAACTTCCTCTCTTTCTTTTCTCCAAGTAATGTCCAGCTTTCTCCTCCCGCTGGTAAACGGCGTAGTTGTCAGAGCAGAATCCAGACTACTACGGGTGTTTATTTGTCCGAAAGCTGCAGCACTACTCCCCGTCCACTTCCCCGTTCTTTAGCAGCTCCCCGTCGGCCAGTGGATTGTCATTACACCGCTCGCCTGGTCCTCTCCAAGCAACGCCCCGAAGCCGCTGGTGACGTTTGGACTATCTCACCACTGATAGGCTTTCGTAACATCGCTCACGCGAATTTCTCGCCCAAGTTGAAAAATTTGAACTCGCGCGAACCAGCGAACTGCACGACAAACGCATCATTCGCGCTGCCCGGAGCAAATTCGCGTCTTTGCTTTGACTTTGTATGTAATCAAGCCGCCCAAAACGTTGGATTTGCTTTCGGTGGGAACGCAACTTACAATATTTTTTTTTTTCATGAGTAGGCTACTTCAAAATAAAAGTCAACGCCAGTTAGATGCTTTTAATGTTAAGGTGCAGCAGTAGTAAATGTTCAGTTTGCATTAGCAGTAACGTGATAGAGCATTTTACTGTGAATTTCGCCACAGATGCACAGTATCTAATACTGCAATTACATTAATAGTGCAATATTTTCATCAGTGGCCATTCTGCGGGCCGGATGTGGCCCGCGGGCCGCCAGTTGATGATCGCTGCTCAACGTGTAACCTACAGTAAATACATACATGTTTGTTTTGCTTTGCATGTCTTTAGAGGAAAATACCCACTGAAGCATATTCCAGCATTTGATTAATTTCTGTGACATACAGGCCTACTGTAAGATAGCACAATCCATGCAGTAAATAGGTGCCATTCTTTTTGTTGTAAAAGTTGACATAAACCAAAAATAGAAGTACAAAAACATTTTTTTAAAGAATAATCACTTTGAAGACAATGATGATTCATATTGTAATGTGAGTTGTTACTGGGTTTTTCTGACAGCATTTTCTTAGACATGTAGCCTATAGGTTACATCAGTGCAGTTGGGATGTCAGATTAACTGTTGTGCTGAGCTGCATGATGGTAAAGAGAACTGTTTGAAGACTTTTAAAAAGACTCAAACCAGACAGACTGGTTGCACCAAGAACCAAAGCTGAAGAGGTAGGACTGGAAATGGGAGCTTAACTATGCATAATATGTAGCTATTATTTATGATTGAAAAAAATGCACTAGGGGGAGGTAGAGGAACACACTACTTAACAGTTATCATTTGGTTTCTGATGATAGATTGAGTAACATCACCTGTGTCAAATGTCTGCAAATTACATTTGTTTTCCTCAGTTTAAAGTAGGTTATAGCCCTGCAATATAAGCAGCCCTCTAAATCAGGAGAGTACACCAGAAAAAATTAAAAATAAAAATCACCCTGGCAACAATTCATCATGTAAAAACCAGGTACCATTTTAGATTATTCTGACTTTAATAATTATGTTTATGCTCCAACAAGACCTCAAAGATTAAACAGATGCTCAGGCACCTTTGTGGATGCTGGAAGTAAAACAGGATTCCCCCGGGGGCAAAGCAACCAAAACATATAGCCTGGTCAGACAGGCTGGGGTTCAGGTACTACACAATGTATTGTCATTTATTTGTAAAAGCTGTCAACACAAGTATCAGTCAAAGTCTCCAGTACCTATGTATGTGCCATTTGTTGAATGCATGTACTGACCTTTACATAGTGTATACTTTCTCATAACAAGCAGAGATGTAACCACATTAGTAATATTATAAAAAGTATAGTGGTATGCATGGCATGCTTCTTTTTATAAAAAGCTCACAGTCAATGTTGAGTTCTTCTGAGTTGACTTTATTGTTGAGCTTCTGGGATTCCACACAGCTTCCTGCAAAATTAACAAAACACAATGTTAATTGGTGTGTCCTGTCATGATACGGTTCCCTTGTGTCTTTACTTGCCATGAGTCTGTTATGTGGTTCTGCTCTGTCAAGAGATAGGTTTATACTGTTTAAACGGCAATGCCTGGGGTGTACTGTACTGCTCTATAGCTGATCCTCTTATTCTGAGGATGCAAGTAGGAGTATCAAAATCTTACCTTGCTTCCTCCTTGGTTGTATCTGCAAAGGCACAAATAGCTTTATCTCTATCCAAAATCTGTTGTTTCAAGCTCTGAATTTCCTCCCCAGCCGTCTTTTTAGCATTTTCATGATCAGCTGAGGAAAAAAATAACAAAGAGAAACATGTTATTCCAGAGTGAGACTTTCCATTTTTAAAAACACTATAAATTAGTGATTTTAGGTGGAAAAGAAATAAAGGCTTTGTCAATTATTGAGGCGCAAATATGTTACTGACAGCTACTACCTTTGCTAAACGCAGAGTGATATCAGCTAAAATAAGCAGTGTGCAGATCAGTGACTGAAACCAATGGCAGTCTGCCTGGAGCCCTGTAGTGCTCTTCCATCTAGTTCCACTGGTTTCTAATAGTCAAAGTTTAAATTGAATAAAGAGTCAGTCATCCCATGATATCTTGGTAGCTGCATTTTTCAGGGGCCTGTATAAACAATCCAAGACTGACAAATCTCAGCAGCTCCAAACCATCCTGAAAACCTGATTAAATGGTGTGTACAGGCACATTGTCACATTCTCTTTTCTGGTTTTGGATTTGAATGAATGATATAAGTACAGAAGCATGATTCTATCTGCCCGTCACCAGAACACAGGTAAAACCAAAAAGCTGTATTACCTGTGAGCTTGGCTAAGGCCTCTGCCTTTTCTGCATTCTTCTTCTCAGCAGCCACCTAGCAAGGACACAGGTGAAAATATTTGTCAGCAGTTTGATTACTGCATTAGAAGGAAACAAAAATAGGCTCACTAGAAACATAAATTAAATATTTGGATGGAACAGATTACTGAGGTACAGGTTGATCCTGAAGAGTGATACTCTTTTGTACATAATGTTATGCTTGTAGCTTGTGCAGCAGTGTGTGCATACAGTAAAAAACACGACTTGTGAGGAAACTGCAGGTGTGTGTTGCTTGCCTTCTCTGTGTTACAGGTCTGTAGACTTGTATCAAGCTCTTGTGTTGATTTTTCGGTGGCTACTCTCGTCTTCTTCAGCTCACCGATCTTGGTGTTGACGGACGCCAGCTTTGCCTTCATCTCGTTGAGTGCGTTTTTTACTTGGACGATGGCTTCCTCTTTCCTCTTGACCTCCGCCGAGTTCTGCATCGTGCGGGTTTTCAAATTACGCAGGTTCAACTCCTGGCGTAGGGTCTGGTAAATCATTACAGCCATCACAGCCACACACAGAACGGCTAAAGCAACCGAGAGCTTCATCCTGGTTGAAACGAGGAAAGACTGGATCAACTGGCGGAGACTACTACCTGCCACCTGTTGCTCGTTTACGCGTCTTCTTCAGCTCCTACTCTCGGCACTGTACTTGAAACCTGCTCTACCTGCTCTACCTGCTCTGCTGACTGGGCGTGGCAAACCACCTTTTCCTCTTCAGACTCTCTCAGTAGGCACGTACTCATTTATATCTTGAAAGCATGCGGGTCATGTTGCTGTCCCTGAATATCCTATAATGCAGTCTTGTGGTTTTAGTAATAATGATGAAATAAGCAACGCGATATTTGTGTGATTCTGGCAAAATACCATATCCCCACACTCAAAACCTTTATTGTTGTAAAGCATTGGTAGAATTTAACAGTGCTTGCACAAGCCCCTCCTTAAATAAATAAAAGGCTGATAAAAGGAATGATATGTGCTATTATTTATTATGAAAACTTTCTGATAGGCATACTGTTTCTCTAAACAGATGTAATGGCAGAAAATAGTTTCTCCTTACATCTATTCTTTTGTGCATGAAGGCTACTTCTATTATTATGACTATTATTGTTATGTCTTATGTAGCCTATACATGGTTTCTATCCTTAATCTTTTCTTATTATTATACTCATTATATTAATTTGTCCACATATGTAGGGTTTAGGCCAGAGCTATGAGATTATTTTATTGTTTTCCTCTCTTGCCGTTCTTCTCCTCACCTTGAATGTTCATTCAAGGCCGGGAGAGGATCTATGTTCCCCAAAACATAGAAACCTGGACTGTCTAAATGATTATGCATCCCTTTATTCGGGGCCAGACGCTGCCCTAGGCGGCACGTCTCTGGACCAGCTGTTTTTCTGTAGTACTTCTCTCTTATTAAAAAAATCTTCAAAGACAACTGTTTGTTGTAACTCAATTGTTTGCTCAATCCCTCACCATCGATATACAATTTCCAGGACAATGAAAACCTGCCAAGTGCTGCCCTGAATCCATTTTTAAGATAGGCCTATTGTACTTTTCTTGAGTAAGATATCCATTACATTTCAGAGGGAAATTTTGTAGGCCTACCTTTTACTCCACTATTAATTTGTCAGCTTCAGTTAATTTACGCCGCCGTGACATTTTAACATGCTGTTTAATTTGATACACTCATTATAACATTTCTAATAATATAAAATATATAATAGCATACTATAATACTCAAAGGGGGGTCATTATGCACAAGTACTATTTTGAAAGCACGACTTTTACTTATAATTTGAGTACTTCTTTCACCACTATGTGTAAGTAAAATGTATCAGGACTTTGTTATCAGCTACCATTTTGTCTTCCGTGTCTACATAGGCCTACAGATATCAAACTCATAGGTTAGCCAGCTTATCTATAATCAGATTTTACTTGTTTATAAGGTAATGCACTCTGATCAAGGAGATCAGAAGAGGCCGACCTGCCTGTCCTCAGAAGCCATGCAGGAGGAGGGCGTGTTTTAAATGACTGACTGGGGGTTAAACAGCTCAGACCCAACATCCCAAAGCGCAGGTGAGTCAGCCTCCTTGGTGGATTGATTTGAATACGGCAAACGTAGAGAGGTTCAGCCAGGCGACTGTAGGAAGCATTATAGCGACCCATCATCAAGGACAAACACCAAACCTCACACAGAATTACGACTCCCACAAAACATGAAGGTGGCATTGTTTCTGCCAGTGACAATAGTCGTTACTGTCGCTTTGGTGGGGATCATGAAAATCCGGAAAAAGGAGCACGACAAAGAAGATAAACGGAACAAATTTCAGGATATCAAGTTGCGGGTGACTTTCGATGTACTGGGAGAGTATCGGAGCGAGCAGGAACTTCTGGAGAACTTGCTAGGCAAGACCCAAGAAGAGCAAAGTGCGCTGGAGCAAGAAGTGAACAGGCTCTGGACCAAAGTAGATGCGGCAAAGGCTCAAGTGGACATCTGCCTGGGAGGCAAGGTGGGGAGAAAATGAAAGATGCAAGAAGTGAGACTATGCATAGTGATAATTGGGAAACTTGTGTTGGATTTGATTTCCACAGAAAGAAAAGTGTGTGCTTAAAGGGAAATTAAATCATTCAGAACTGAAAGAGGAGCAGGAATTTGAGGAAGGAGGAGGAGTTAAATATAGCAGCCACATGAACGCCTTTATAAACTTTTTAAAGAAAATGCATCAACGCTTTTTATAAACTTTGTAAAGTAATCTCTTTAGGCTATGTGGGACAACATCTGATTTCAATCGTGTCAAGTGTATGCAAGAGCCAGAGAACACGCATAACAGGTTTCACCTGGTAAGGAAATACTAGCATGATCAGCACCTGCCAAAAAAATCAGTTTAGTCTAGCACTGTCAGAGCAAGGCATAGGCCTATAGGGACAGACTCAAGCAGTATGAATTGTAAACTATTTACAGTGGGTACGGAAAGTATTCAGACCCCTTTAAATTTTTCACTCTTTGTTTCATTGCAGCAATTTTCCAAAAATCAAAAAAGTTCATTTTATTTCTCAGTAATGTACACTCAGCACCCCATCTTGACAGAAAAAAAACAGAAATTTTAGCAAATTTATAAAAAAAAAAAAAAAACTGAAATATCACATGGTCATAAGTATTCAGACCCTTTGCTCAGTATTTAGTAGAAGCACCCTTTTGATCTAATACAGCCATGAGTCGTTTTGGGAAAGATGCAACAAGTTTTTCACATCTGGATTTGGGTATCCTCTGCCATTCCTCCTTGCAGATCCTCTCCAGTTCTGTCAGGTTGGATGGTAAACGTTGGTGGACAGCCATTTTCAGGTCTCTCCAGAGATGCTCAATTGGGTTTAAGTCAGGGCTCTGGCTGGGCCATTCAAGAACAGCCACGGAGTTGTTGTGAAGCCACTCCTTCGTTATTTTAGCGGTGTGCTTAGTGTCATTGTCTTGTTGGAAGGTCAACCTTCGGCCCAGTCTGAGGTCCAGAGCACTCTGGAAAAGGTTTTCGTCCAGGATATCCCTGTACTTGGCCGCATTCATCTTTCCCTCGATTGCAACTAGTCGTCCTGTCCCTGCAGCTGAAAAACACCCCCACAGCATGATGCTGCCACCACCATGCTTCACTGTTGAGACTGTATTGGAAAGGTGATGAGCAGTGCCTGGTTTTCTCCACACATACCGCTTAGAATTAAGGCCAAAAAGTTCTATCTTGGTCTCATCAGACCAGAGGATCTTATTTATCACCATCTTGGAGTCCTTCAGGTGTTTTTTAGCAAACTCCATGCAGGCTTTCATGTGTCTTGCACTGAGGAGAGGCTTCCGTCGGGCCACTCTGCCATAAAGCCCCGACTGGTGGATTGCTGCAGTGATGGTTGACTTACTACAACTTTCTCCCATCTCCCGACTGCATCTCTGGAGCTCAGCCACAGTGACCTTTGGGTTCTTCTTTACCTCTCTCACCAAGGCTCTTCTCCCCCGATAGCTCAGTTTGGCCGGACGGCCAGCTCTAGGAAGGGTTCTGGTCGTCCCAAACGTCTTCCATTTGAGGATTATGGAGGCCACTGTGCTCTTAGGAACCTTAAGTGCAGCAGAAATTTTTTTGTAACCGTGGCCAGATCTGTGCCTTGCCACAATTCTGTCTCTGAGCTCTTCAGGCAGTTCCTTTGACCTCATGATTCTCATTTGCTCTGACATGCACTGTGAGCTGTAAGGTCTTATATAGACAGGTGTGTGGCTTTCCTAATCAAGTCCAATCAGTATAATCAAACACAGCTGGACTCAAATGAAGGTGTAGAACCATCTCAAGGATGATCAGAAGAAATAGACAGCACCTGAGTTAAATATGAGTGTCACGGCAAAGGGTCTGAATACTTATGACCATGTGATATTTCAGTATTTCTTTTTTAATAAATGTGCCAAAATTTCTACATTTCTGTTTTTTTCTGTCAAGATGGGGTGCTGAGTGTACATTACTGAGAAATAAAATGAACTTTTTTGATTTTTGGAAAATGGCTGCAATGAAACAAAGAGTGAAAAATTTAAAGGGGTCTGAATACTTTCCGTACCCACTGTATTGTTAAAATAAATTAATCTGTGTGGATAGGCTACAGGAGAGGCCCTAGCCTGGGATCAAAGGCCAAAGTCCTTGTTTTCATACCCCCTCATTTCTCCCACTGCCAATAGGCTACAGACATCACAGTGGATGTTGCTTTAAGACTTTTATACATTTAATAAATATTTGTATAAAAAACAAATTTATTCTAAATGAGAAATTTGATCCACCCCCTCCTGCTGCTGTACTAAAATGTGTTGTTTTTGGTCTTACTTTTACTTCTTAAAAGAGCAATAAATGCATAAAAAAGTACACCATTAAAGCAAATGTTCCACTACTGTGTCAAGTAACTAGTGGACCAACACTCACATGATTAAGGAGAAAGAGGGGACAGTCTAAACGGTATTGCACTGTAGTTCTGTTTGGTTTGTTCATGTAGAATCAGAATTTGCATTTACATACCTATCATTGTCACCCATTTACTGCCTTCCTGTCTTTTCAAAGTTGATCTAGTGGCTTCACAGTGGATTAAGGTGATTCCTCAGTGTTGCTCAGAGCATTTAAGGAAAATAGCAACCTAAAAAGAATATGTAAGGGCACAGGAACTGGGTTAAAAATGTATCAACAAGATAAGGTAGGACAAATGGTCTTGTGCTGCCAAATAAGGGGAACATGTGTTCAAAGAGAAAGAATATGAAATAGATCCTTATTCTTGTTAACATAACACTGTGTTGTTTGCATATCAAATTATTTGTCATGACAGTGTGTTCATACTGCCTCACTGTTGAAGATGTATGCAGGGTGTTAATCTGTGTAGGGAGGATTTTTCTAACAAACTGAGGGTTGTGTTGCTGAGATTCTCTTTTTCTCTTGCAGAAATCTGCAAATGACGCACTGGCTGCAGCAGAGACCAAATTCAGTAATCTCCAAGGTAGGTCCCATTTCATGGGCATCAGTGCCAAGAGTGGTCAGATATTTAATGGAGAGAAGAAATAAAGCAACCTGTCCCTTTTTTACTGAGCATGTGCATTTTAGTTTTCTCTTCCAGTTTGGTGGTCTTTACGTTGCTTTAGATTTGCTAAACATTTAAAATTCCTCATGTTGTATGATCATACTTCCAGCTGAACATGGGAAGGAAAAGACCAACTGGGAAACAGAAGTGTCAGCACTTAAACAGCAACTAACAACCCGGAGCTCAGTGTGTAACTTTTTGAAAACAGGATCCTCATCAGCAAGGTAGGGTTTACTGGACTTGAAAAACAATTTCTCCAGAGTGCACTCAAATATCCATAATGAGATTAGTCGCCGGCCAATATGGGTCTTTCAATTGCCGATACTGATATTTAGTAAGCAGGATGGCTGATGGTCAATATATAATGCTGATGTCAAAACAAAGAAAAGTCATGTATAATTCCATTATTCCATTCAGAGTACACTTTAATAAACAATTTAACGCTAGCCAGAAAGCCTTGTGAGTGCTAGTATTGGCCGATGCAGATTATCTTATTAATAGGCCAACCAATTAATCTGTCTATCACCAAATGAGATCTGGTCATTCACTACATTTGCTATGTTGAACTTTCTCTTAAAGCAAGTTGTGTGGCGATGAATTGATCAAGGCCCAAGAGGAACCAAAGGCAGAGGCCCCCAAACAAGAGAAACCAAAGGCAGAGGCCCCCAAACAAGAGGAACCAAAGGCAGAGGCCCCCAAACAAGAGGAACCAAAGGCAGAGGCCCCCAAACAAGAGGAACCAAAGGCAGAGGCCCCTAAACAAGAGGAGCCAAAGGCAGAGGCCCCCAAACAAGAGGAACCAAAGGCAGAGGCCCCCAAACAAGAGGAACCAAAGGCAGAGGCCCCTAAACAAGAGGAGCCAAAAGCAGAGGCCCCGAAACAAGAGGAACCAAAGGCAGAGGCCCCGAAACAAGAGGAACCAAAGGCAGAGGCCCCTAAACAAGAGGAGCCAAAAGCAGAGGCCCCGAAACAAGAGGAGCCAAAGGCAGAGGCCCCGAAACAAGAGGAGCCTAAAGCAGAAGCCCCTAAGAAGAGATGAGGTATTACAACCTGTGTTATCCGCTCCACAACACTTCATCTATTTAAAGAACACAGTTTTTGATACTTTGCAACCAGGTTCCAGCTTAACTGCCTTTATGTCACATGTGGTGCAGGTAGGAACCTGAAGGAGGACTACTTAGATTTTTCCGTTGCTAAGTGGGATGTTAATGAATTTTCAATCTGTTATTTATTTGAATGCAAATACTTTGTGCTGGCAAGATTCCCTCACATTTGTTTTAACTGAGAGGTAGAGGAGTGATGTGAATGGACTTGCTGGAGGTCATGCTGTAGATTCATGTTAAATTTATAGCTTCTCTGCTTCATGTTGTATGTCGCTTGATTTCTCACTCTGCAGCAACAATGTTTGTCTGCCATTATTCCGTTTGGATTAATGGCACAAAGAAAATAAATACAATAAAAACTGTGGAAAAAATGTGGTTTCAAAATGGAAGGGTTTTATGTTTACAGTATCTTGTAAATAATGTACATCACACATCATCCTCACCCAAATGCACTCAAGGTATCAAAATTATGCAGAATGGCCCTTTCCAATGTATTGTGTTATCAAAGTACTATAACATTAATGTGCAACCAGGATTTTAATGTTGTCCTTGGAGATGTATATACTATTGTGTAGTTAAATCTATAAAAACTCTGCAAATTAACTAGTAAGTATTGCTGCCAAATACAAATAATTGAGAAAAAATTACAATATTTCCCTCTGATGTAGTGGAGTTGTATGAATTATCATGCAAATAAAGTAAAGTTCAAATAGAATTGTATTTTAGTACAGTACTTGAGTATGTATACTGACTTATGTTGAAGAAATATTAAACAAATCTTTCTGATGTTTTGACTCATATTGGAATCTCTCACTGTCCATGAGTGGTACTCTCATCTGTGGAGCCAGTAAGTTATTGTAAACATTCTTGTAAGACTCAACCTTGCAAGATTCCCAAAGAACACCAATATCTGCTAGCCTGATGCCCAAGCTACTGTCTCTACCTTATCAGTCTAACTATTGCCTTCCTAACAAGGACACTTGCATGTGAGAAAAAACTAGAGCTGAAAGGTCAGTGAACACACACTTGTAGGGTCAGCTAATGACTCTAAGTTAGACCTGTTTTACCTTTCCCTGTTACATCAATTAAGCCCCCTAAGAATATTTTTTAACAAGTTACATTCCACCACAATATACCACTACCACATCAAACTCCATTATACTGTACCAATATACAGTAATATCCTCACAATTGTAAACTGTGATGCCATCTCCATATTCAGAGTAGTAGTAGTATTAAAGAGAAAATTACATCCACCATAGTACCCAGCTGAGATACTTGTAAAGAGTAAAATGCACAAATGATATAGAGAAATTAGAAATTTGTAGGGAAAAAACTACAGAGGATATTGGTTTGTTACAGCAAACGGTTCAAAATTCTGGTATTTAGATTAAAATCACCACACTGGCTCCAGCAACACTTTATCTCAAAATCTTTCACAAAAATAACCTTTGGAGAACCTTCTGGAAATGTTCCTAGAACCAACATACCCAACCGGAAACATGCCTGAACTGTTCTTTGAGAAAATCTACCAACCGAAAGCTCAGGCGTAGGAAGGTTATGTTTTTGCTCGGTAGTAAGTCTGGCATTACCACTGTGCACACAATGAAGAGTCTGAATACACACATGATACACTGTACAGTGTACAGTCAGGGTGTGGGGCTTAACAGACACATGGTTGTGAAATACTTTCTAACCAGTATCCTGGTTAGACAGGTAATGATTAATGTGTGCCAGCTGTGTTTGGGACACAGAGAGACATAGAAATGCTGAACACGTCGCATAGTGTGGTCACATGTCTTTATCACTAAAAAATTGCAGGCCTACTGTATGCTGAGCCAAATAGCAGGCTGTCATTATCCCCTTACAGTTTTTTGTATTTACACAGTATTGTGATTTCATATGTATGCAAATAAGGAAATGCAAATAAATTCAGAACCAGGAAGAGAAAAATTATCATTTGAATCTTTTGCTGCAGTATACATTCAACTTTTAGAGCCTTCAGTTTTCCTCACTTAGATAACTCTTCTACCTCCAACACTGAAAACATGGAGTTAGGTATTGAATAATCGTTGTTAACCTTGTCTGCCTCTCTCTTTCTTAGTGACCCTGCCTCAGGGTGTATGGGTGTGTGTGTGTGTGTGTGTGTGTGTGTGTGTGTGTGACAGAGAGAGAGCTAGATAGAGAGAGAGAGATGGGCACTGACTACTCTGTCACTCTCTATAAATTTCACTTTGTTATCCTGGTGAAGCTCTGGCTATACAGTTTGTATTCTGCTCATCCTAAAGCTTTATGTATGTATGCATGTGTTTCTGTTGGAGTTTTTTAATAAAATGTAATGCCTACGTTGTTGTTTTTCTATGTGTGACCTTATGTTTTAAACATAAATGCTAAAAATACAGAACAATATCGATCAGACAAAAAAATGCACTTTTGTGTACTTGCATGCATTTCAATAAACAAAATGAAGCAATATGGCGTAAACAAGTTCAAGTTAGTGTTTATTGTAGAGTGATTGTGTTTCATTAGGGTAAACAGGTGTTTATTTTATTTTGTCATTTGCCATTAGCTTTATTTATTCAATCATATATAAATAAATTTGGAAATACGTATTGGTAATAACTGTACCCTAATAATGAGAATATTTTGATATTACATTGATGAGACACGTAATTTGTTTGCATTTGTGATCATTTTGCTATGTGATGTATTGATGTAATCTCCAGGTGTTATCCGTGTGTTTTTATTAAGAGAATAGCCTTTTCGCAAATTCAAAAATTCTAATTTTGACAATAAACTTTTCTATTCTGTGACCATTTTCACCCATCTTCAGTAGCACCTTATGCTCCCTGCATTCACCCCATGTGAAAAGGAAATGGATTTTCCCCTTTTTCAAATAGTCAAATCAGATTATGATATTTTATAGAATTTGATGTTTAATTCTGCAACCTTACATTCAATAAGATGTCACTTTAATGTAGGCTATTTTCAGATAAATCCACATTAAGTCATGCTCCAACAACAGTATCCTTTCAATCAAATGCAAACTAACTTTGATGTGTTCATGAAAATGATGCTATTTGAACCTTTATGTGAGCAGAAAAAGCATAATAACTTTGAAGCCTAGAGTGAATCTGAGTTAAATGATTTTTCTCTGCATAGAGGAGGTGGCTAGGGCTTTAAAAATAAGAGTTAGACTGAATATAAATACTGTTTGGTCATTCAAATGATTCATTAAATTCACACATACAGTTCCTTTTTTAATAATTTCTCTTTTTTATTAACATATCTCTCACTTTGCCTCTCACTGCCCTCCATCTGTTTGAGATTAAAACACTCCCCCTAGGCTCACAATTAGGCAATCAGAAGGCCATCATTCCGCCCCAATAGGCCCACAAGGTCAGCGTCATACCAGGAGAGGATACAGAGACAACAGAGGGGAACATTCACTGAAAAACGAGGGCTGCTCTTCATGAAGTGTACTGTCTTATCTGATATCTGTTCAAAATAATATGTTGTCTGCCACTGATGACAATGTTTGTAAAGGAAGGAATGACATTATTGTGGTATTTCTTAAAGAGTCAAATACTGAATGTCTTTATGAATCATATGCTGTAGTCTGGATACAAAGTAAATTCTCTTTCTCACATTGTACTTATTATCAGCTACACCTGATCTGTACAGGCTTCTTGCTGTTTAAAAAATAAAATCCTGACTCACCCACAAGTGAAAGTGTTGTGCTATTCATATCTGACCTGATGATGTGAAGTTAACATGTGTTTCAGTCCCACACTACAACCCCCAAACACACAGATGGATTGATAATACCATCAACAGTCTTTTTAACGACCAGAGGTCACCCTGACTCCCAGCGGTCACCTTGACCGCAGAGTTTGTCTTGATACTGCACCAATGTTATAAATCTAATATGATTTTTATGAATATATTTTTTCTCACTGTTAAGTGACACTCTGATGTGTGAGTGTAAGTGTAGGACAATTTAAAACATAAAAATGATTAAATCTTAAAATTAAGGTTTTGAATCTCAACACCAACAACAACCAACATGCCCTAACTCGTACAGGATTTGATATTATGTAGGTAAAAGTAGCAGTACTTCAAAACTGTAAGTGAAAGTCCATCCATCCATCCATTGTCAACTGCTTATCCTGCATACAGGGTTGCGGGGGGCTGGAGCCAATCCCAGCTGACATTGGGCGAAAGGCGGCGTACACCCTGGACAGGTCACCAGTGCAAGTGAAAGTCCTGCATTCTAAAACATTATCTAGGTAGAAGTACTGAAGTATTAGCAGAAGCAGTGAAAGTACTCATTAGGGCAGCAATGACCACTCTCAATGTTATATTATTATTGATTAATGACTGTGTAAGAAGCATTATGCTCTAGCTGGCTGACGTAAAGTTAACAGTTTTATATCTTTATGAACTGCTGGGTAGTTTGTTGTGTTTGATTCAAACTAGTAACTGTAGCTGTCAAATAAATGTAGTGGAGTAAGAAGTACAGTACTTGCCTTTGAAATGTAATGTAGTATGCATAAGTAGCATAAAATAAATCTAGGTAATGTACATCAAAATTGTACTTTAGTGCATCACTTGAGTAAATGTTAAAAAAAATATCCCCAAAAAGAACATCACAAGTCTTTGATGGGACAACTATGACATTTTTCAGTCAATCCTAGTTAGTTTTAGGATTGTAAATGAGGCATGAAAAAGCATAGCCCTGCAGATCCAGGCACCCTGTCTGTGACAGACCGCTGTGTGTCAAGTGTAGATGAATTTCTCTAAAGGTAACAAGATCTCCTGACACCATACCAGCCTTCTGCTTTGGAAATCCTAAATTTAAGGACTGTCTTTCATACCATATTGAACAAATATCCAATGAACTCATATTCTCTAACATTCTTGATGCAAACCCGCTGCACAATAACAAAAATTTCAAAACGTGCCTAAATATGGAGAATGCAGTTGTACAACTCCCACATGCAGATACTAAGAAAAATATGCTTATGCTTCTCCGTTCTTGGCACCAACCTTTTTCCTTTTTCCTTTCTCTTGAAAAGATATTTTATAAATCCCTTCAATAAGGAAGTCATTTGAGATATCCCCTTGACGCAGATTGTCACAAATTCGCATCACACCTCTGCAAGCCAAGATAGCGCATGGATTCCCCCAATGCCTGTTTGTGCATATTCGATACGTACCTGGAAACCTTTTGCAAGCACTGGCTTCTTGTTTATGCCTGCTAATTTGCATCATACCTACGTTATACCTGAATTTAAATCTTTTTTATGTTCTATAGACAAATTAACAATCTTCATTTAATTTAACATCAGCTTGAAAGCAAATGAAAACACTTTTGTTTTTTTGTTTTTTTATGTAAAACAATTCAGGCGTCATGGAGATATTTGAGATATCAGTCATTTGATATATTTGAATTGTTACAGGAAACATATCCGTGATAAGATACAACCAGTGACTTGGTGAAGTGACCGCCATGTGTTCACGTTTGTCCTCCCTGCAGGCAATAGCTGAAAGTTATTTGATTTTGCATCTGTGATCCTGTGTGTGTGTGTGTGTGTGTGTGTGTGTGTGGGGGGGGGGGGGGGGGGGGGGGGCTCACACTAGGATGAACATCACATCTATTGATCAGGCTAATGTGGGGAGGAAAGGCTGCAGGCCACAGCAGCTGATCAATATACCTCTAATTACATGGGGCACTGAGTGTGTGTGGTACTGAGAGTGAGTGTAGGTAGTCCCCCCCAAACTCACAGCGTTGTATATATAAATGCTGTCCCACAGAGGAATTGCACACAGATCATAGCTCACACACATTTAACAGTTAGTTCTGTATCACTTTTTTACTTTTCTTCTGCAGCACACACATTCAAATTAACCACAATTTGTTACTTGAACCACTTATGTTGATGTTATGAAGAGTTTTTTTTGACAGGACTCTGGGACACTGTGTATGGATAAAGGTGAAATTGGTAAGTGTCCTCGTATTTGTATTTACATGTCTGATTTTTGTGTGGAGTGTGTCTTGCCTCTCCTTTTCTTGCTTTCACTTATAGGCGCTCTTACGTGCCAAAAGGATCTCTGATTCCCTGTGTTAGTGACGCCCTCCTTCAAGGCATTTCCTGTTATATCGCTCTTGTGTCGGAGTTATTGTTTAGGTCTTTCTGTCTTCTTTGGAATCATCCGTGGTACATTCAGTTTGAAACAAGATGACTGTGTGATCTTTTCATTATTTGTCTCTGTCACTCCCTTGTTTGTTCTCACTGCAATGTCTCTATGCGTTTGTGTTATGTTATTCTGTTATGTTAAATCTTGATCTTCAAACTAGTGACTGTATCAAATAAATGTAGTGGAGTAAGAAGTACACTATTTGCCTGTGAAATGTAATGGAGTAGAAGTGTGAAGTAGCATAAAATAAATCCTCTGTCACTTCCTTGTTTGTTCTCACACATTGTCTCTCTCATCTTCTACAGGCTTTTCCAGTCTGCTGAGGCTCTGACTGGCTAGAGGCTGTGTGATATGTTTGATATTCGGTTGTTCTTGTACTTTATCCTGTCAACTAAATATCAGACATATTCCTACAGAGTCTGGCGCTGACTTCTGATCCTTGTTGTACCATGAAGTCAGATGTTCATTTAAATTGTTTTTGGAAGGTAAACTTTAAAACTTGTGTTATTATCTTTTGCTAAAGTTTGTAGACTATCAATTTAATGCTTACTTGAATTACTTCAGTTTAATTGCAATATCCTCAATTAATCGCTGTGCATGCATTACTAGTATTGCTTTTATTGTTGTGCTTTACTGTTGCAAAAAAGTAAACATTAACAATGATTTATTAATCATCAAAATGCTCTTTGTGTTCTGCATAAAAAAGTAAGCAAACATATCAAGTTTCATGCTCGTTCATTCTGTCTCTCAAACACACACACACACACCCACACACACCCATATACATACACTGTGGTCATTTACCAAGACTGACAGCTGAGGTATTACAGTCTTTTTTTGTTTGGAATAAGATCCAGGTGTACAAGTATATCCTGCCCCGTGAGCAAACAGGTGTTTTTCTGTCACCATACAGGTTTGTGACATTAGGGGTCATAACAAAGCCAAATCTCATAACAGCCGTTGTCTCACTAGTGCAGAGAGAAGTCTGTTTCATTCTCCCTTAAGTCCAAAGTTTTTTTTATTACTAATACCTAATTTTCAGTCCCTAACTGCTGTTGTTGGGCTGTCTTTTCCATGAGGAATTTTTCATCTGTGATTTTATCCATGCAGGACATAAAAAAAGCCTGATGGCACATTAATATTGTGAGTCATTACTGTTTCCACATCTCTGATTCGCATCCTGTTGCATCAAACCTAGTGAGCTGAATGCTTTCAGAAACTATTTTTATGCTTTAATTAATTGATTTTACATAGAGGAAACATGCTTTTGAACTTTTGGCTAATGAAACATCCTCCCTCCCAGTCAACAATTTTTTTGTTTTATTATATAATAGTCCATTTTCTGTGGAAGCGTAATAAGTTACATTCTAATGTGCACAAGCCTGCGGGAGTACTCGCTGGAAAATCAGTGGCACTGATGTGAGTATACTTTCTAATCAAATGAGTATCAGAATAATGCAGCCAACAACTGGATTTCATAAAATGATGGGTTCACTTTTACTTCAGGACTATAATGTGAACACCAGGCCATTGAAGTGTTGCCTCAAGATGCCGCATATTTCAAAAACTACTCTGACTACAATCAGGAAACAAGATAGACAGGTCTGGGTGCACAGATGCCATCTGAGTCATTCTGTTAAAGATGTGAATACATCAGAACAGCTCAGAAAAGAAAGACATTGAAGAAAGTGTGTTACAGCACTGGATAGCATCAAGGTTGAATGTATGACCCTGTTTGTGTCATCTGATCTGTAGTCACATTTGAGGACCAATTTCAAGTTTGATTTTTAACTCGCTGATCGTGTTGAGAATAGTTGCCAAATTTCTTACAAAAGGTGTCTTCTTAGTTTTTGTCTTTGCACATTCAGTTTCAGCATGAGCTAAAATTAAGTGAGTGCTCACTGAGGAGATGTTGAGGTTAGAGCAAGCCTCTAGGCAATGAAATCTCCTCAAAGGTGACAAACAAATCTGTGTATACGTCAGTGTGTGTGCATATGTGTGCACATGCATGTGTGTGTGTGTGTGTGTGTGTGTGTGTGTGTGTGTGTGTGTGTGTACAGTTATGTCCACACATGGGCATGTTATCTGAGGACTCAGGGTGGTTTATTCAAACAACTCCCAACACAAAGAAGAAAAACACTGAAACCCATCCTCCAACACAAAAATAACCTCAGATTTAATCAAGACACCCTAAAAATGTCATGCCCCTCCTCTGCTCCTGACAAAAACAACAGTGACACAAAAATTTATTATTAACTTAATATAGGAAAATTATACTCAAGTTCAGTGAATCATGTAAAATCATACCTTTCTGATTCATTAAAAATCATTTATGAAATTGAATTAAGCAACTGATGTGCATCAGTAAATTTTATTATTAGTCAGTGGTAAAGACAATTACCAAAAACGTCTCTTTTTAAATACAATAACACCAATAAGAGTGGTGGGAAAAGCACATTCATTCAAGTACTAAGTCAAATATTGACATACTTGTCCTTGTGTATTTCCATGTTATGCTACTATATACTTCTAATCCACTGCAATTCAGAGGGAAATATTGACTTTTTACTCCACTACATTCATTTGACATTTATAGATACTTGCTACTTTTAAAAAGCACACTTTATTTTGTATGATAGGATGCAATATTAATCAACCCAGTAGCACACAACATAAATTGGCTCCAAATTGATGAACTAGAACATTAAAACGCATGTATGTTTTAGTGATAAAAAAATTATGAAATATTTTATAACACGTACATTTTGAGAAGAGCCATTCTTCACAATGACTTATATACTTTTACTTTTCGATACTTGAAGTACATTTTACTGATAATACTTCTTTACTTTTATTTAAACAACATTTTGAATCAGGACTTTTACTTGGAGTATTTTTACACTGTAGAATTTCTATTTTTATTTAAGTAAATGGTCTGAGTACTTCTTCCACCACTGCAATAATAATATTAGATTTTATTGATAAAAACAATAATCTTGGCCTTTTTAAAATTAGCTTTTCAATATATATATATTAAATAATATGTGCATCTGGATGTTGACCAGAGGGTCAAGGGTTCATACTCCTTCGTACACACACAAGCGGCTCCTGTGCAGGACAATAGGCCACTGGCTGGTTGTCCCATCGATGGTGTCACCACTGAGATCTACTGATAGGGTCAAATGGCACCCCCTGAGATAAATGTTATCTGAAAGACTGCACACTGTATACTCTAGGGCAATTTCTGTGAAGCAGTAAAAATAGGAAATGACGAACATTGTAATAATAATGCTTGTGTATGTTTGTGTGTCTGCATATTGTGTGTGCGTGCAGAGAATGGTAACTAGTGAGTGGCTGAGAGGTGGACAAATAGCAACGAAGAAAGTAGAAATGAGTGTGGAGATAAAGACGTGCCCATTCAGTATAAATATCTGAAAGCACAGGGAAAGAGTGCATCAGTCCAGGGTGGCACTGAAGAGGAGACGCACTAAGCCAAAAGGGGGAAGAGGGAGTAGAAAAACAACAAGAAGGTGAATGAAAGCCAGAATTGACAATACAGCAAGGGAAGGTTTTTATAGTGGAAACAGGTAAGACCAACACATTTGACATCTGACATTTCTCTCATCTGGTTATAATGTTTTGTGGGTATTTTTTTTACCTGTGCACTGCTTTTTTTTCAGAAATGGCAAACCAAGCAGGTGCAGTCCTTTTGGCATTACTGTTGTTCCTGAGTGCCAGTGTACCATGTTTTTCTGTGTATAACAGTGGCGAGTGCTTCTTCAACACTAAAGGTACAGAGTGTGTATGTAGATTTACGTTTCCAATAGGCTTAAATTTGTACAAGTCCAGTGGTAGAAATGCACTTAAACTGTACTTGCACTTTACTTTTACAGTTATTGTTATAATTATTAATTGCTATTTATTTAAATTAAGATTTGTCGTCTGAAACATATGATCAGTTTATGAAATATAATGCGTACTGTTATAATAAACAACAGTCTAAATTAGTGAACTAGCTCAACCCAGACCTGCTACAATATTTAAATGCTGCTTCATGCATCAGTAATAATAAAACTATATATAACAACATGAAAGGCACCTTTCTGTATAATGAACTAGTACTTTAAGTACATTCTCTCGTTACAATTGCATTTTCAGGGAGCTGTGAACACATGGGGCAGGTGTACGGGATAGGAGAGAGCTGGATAACCAGTGACTGTTACCAGTGTGTCTGCATGGAGCCTTTCGGAGTAGGATGCTGTGACAAGTGAGTTTATTTTGAATTCAAAACTACCCCATAAAAGCATTTAAATTTCTTATTTATTTATTTATTATTATTATTATGTATATATGATCTAACTCTGTTCTTCCCTACAGTGGAAATAAACCTGTGGACTATCCAGACTGGTGTGAGATCATCCGCAAACCTGACTCTTGTACTAGTGTTGCAGTGATGAGAGGGAATCATAAACTACCCTGCCTCTGGGGGAGAGGCCGTCTCAGACCAGCTGCAGGCCAACCATGGAAATCTGACAATGATCCTATATTTTGAGTTCAGTAATTAATGGGGGGGGGAGCAATATAACAATGTGTGATGTTTATTTTGGATTTAACAGCTAAAATAAAGACCCTGATTTAATTTTATCATGAGGTTTGTGAGAGACTACCAAATTTTTTAACAAAACCTGCAAGAATTATCTTGAATTATGTTTGTATGTATAATTTTACATTTGTGTTGTTGATGTTGGTTGTAGATGACTCTGTCTGGATTGTTTCTGTTTAATGGTTTAAGATTTTAAAAAATGTGTCTGTAATTTCTGGATTTGTCAAATGTGTAATTTGTTATTTACCTATTTACTACACTTATTGAATTGTGCTATTACTTGCTTTCTCTACGAGTGAGTAATATCATATCCACCTATCAGAAGAAAAACAGAATTTATATTGTGCTATTCTAGCTCAGCCATATTCAAGACTTCAGGTCACTCTAAATCAAATTCAGAGCATCAAAAGCTATTACATTACATCAAAATTATTTTAATGTACTAATTCATTAAAGTTGTTCCATTATTTACAGGTCAGCATTTATATCCAGATAGCATCACCAGTACAGTTTTAACTGTCAGCTGTTCAGCTCAGAAAAAGGTTGGTTCAAATTCATAAATTAAACACAGCTGTACAATTTTAAAGTGTGAAACAAACATGCAAAAATAACATTTGACGGCTCATTTGCCAATACATTTCTGGGTATTTTTGTAAATTTTTCCACACCGGCCTAAGACATTTGCACAATGTACATTATTCTGAATTGGGTCATTCTTCATAATGAATACTTTTACCTTTTGTACTCATATGTCAATGCTAATACTTTTTTACTTTCAAGTATTTCTACACAGTGGTATTGCTACTGTTACTTAGGTCAAAAATCTGAATATTTCTTCCATCACTGGGTGAATTTTAATTTGTAGAAGACTGTAATGAATGACGGAATTGACTTTTATTTTGAAAACAGAGCCGTGGCGCATTATTTGTACGTCACGCGTTGGCGCGCCGTGAGTGTCCACTCTATTGATAGCATGAACGATAGTTGTTTTGACTGGTTGTTTTAAAAATGTTGCCTTTGTCCTGAGTCGTTCATGGTTTAAGTTTATGAAAGAGCAACAAAAGGCAATAAAATGTGGATACTGACACCCCTGCAGCCTGAAGGTAACTTTTTAATGTCTTGATTGACATTTTAACGCTAGCTTAAGACGCAGCTAGCAAGTTACCGCTTTGATCAAGTTGTGTTATCGAGTGTGATTAAAAACTAACGCTATAGGTAAATGTGGTCATAGACTGTATGTAAAGTCCACGACTTTGCGTAGGGAAGTTGATTTGTTTTTTTGGTGTGATCATACTGCAACATATGTTTCATTTAAAGAACAGGTTGTGGGCGTGTTTTCGTTTTATGGCAAATATGCATGTGCAGTTTAATGTTGCCTAAACTATTGAGATTCAAGACGTTTATTGTCATGTGCACAGTAAAACCACAACGGCTACATACAACGAAAATCTTACTTTGCAAGTCTCCCTTTTAAAAATGTCTCTATATATAAAGATGAACCCATTAAAAACAATAAATACAATAAACAACAATATCTACAGACTACAAAATAAAGTCAGGTGCAGCAAAGTTGGCTAAGTGGAAACAAATCCTGAGTGCAAGAGGTGAGTCTCTGTGAGTTTTACAGTAAGGGCAAAAGTCAGTTGGAGTGATGGACGGTGGGGGAGGTAATGTTGGAGGTTCAGTCTGATGGCCTTTGGTTAAAAACCGTTTGATAGTCCTTTTGTCTTCGATTTCACACTCCCGTATCGTCTCCCTTACTGCAGAAGTGTGAAGAGACTGTGTTGTGTTTCTGTACTGTCTTTGATGATGATGTGGGCTCTCCATGGGTGATGGATTGCTTAAAATTGGGCTCAGAGCAAATTTATATCTGCTACCCCCTTCACAGGTAACAGCAACATAGTCAGTTACTTTCACATATGTTTCCACTTTTGTGTTGCATATAGTTTGTGAATATGTATGAAGTAGACACTGGACAGTGAAGCATGCAGTTAATTAAGACAGTCACAGTCAGTGATTTAATGTGTGCTTAGTATTAACCCAAAGATTTACATTTTTGATGCAGACTTTTTTCAGCTATTTTGATAATCAATTAATTAATTTGGGAAAACATTTCAAAATGCTTCTAGCGTCTCCAATGTGAGGGGGTGGGGGGTAAATTGTAAACTGAATATCTATGGATTTTGGACTGTTGGTTGGACAAAACAAGACAATGGAATTGACAATAAGCATTTTTCACCTATAATCGATTCATTGTGAAATTAATTGGCTAATTAATTAATTGAATGATTTGTAGCTTACTGATCTTGGAATTTGACATTTTGCGTTTATTTTGTACAATAACTCCTTAACCAGCAGTAATGGTTTGTGTTTTTGCTGTTCCTCAAAAGATTATTGTGCAGATTGTTCCAACACAAGTCAGCCTATTACCACAACATGGTAATATATATATATCTCAGCCACAGTGGTGTAAAAACAGAGTGTAATATTAGCTGTGCAGTGGAGGATGTTTGCTTTTCCTGGTAATAAAGGTGGCATTGTGTTTAGAAATGGACGGCACTTAGGCAGCGCTAAAGCTTGACAAAGCACTTCACATTGCCTGTCATTCATCCATTCGTGCACACGCACACACACACACACACACACCGATAAAGCTGCCATGCAAGATCAATGGGAGGCTTCAGTGTCTTGCTCCAGGAGCCACAGCCACCACATAACAATAATGTGTTTGTTCATTCAACCTGTATCTGTTTGGCTAACATATTTGTTTTCCCCAGGGAACATGCCTCCACCCCCTGGTTTAGATGAAATGTTATTTGAAACCATTAACTATCTTATTCAGTAGATTGTGTCATTATTGATATCTGTAAGTGCTAAGCGAAATATATTGTGATATTTATATTGAAAATATTGGCTCTAGTGTATAATGAAACAGATTCATTCATGATTGACACACATAAAAACGGGCACCTATTTTAAGATTATTGTTGAACTTGTCATGTAAGTATATGAGTTTGTAAAACCACAGTTGTGTTGTCTGTCTGTGATTTTACATTAGAAGTTCAATAACGTGCCTCCTGTCATTCACAGGTGAGACCCACTATCTTCTCTCCAGTAAAGAGTATGTGGTGGGACGCAAGAACTGTGACATCCTCCTGCCCAACGACCAGTCCATCAGCAGGGCTCATGCTCACCTAACTGCTACTGACCAGGTGAGAGGAAGATGGGAAATAAGTATAAACTATAGCTTATATAGTATTTATTGGACTGAATTTGTGAATTTAGTACAGATTTAGTATCCGGTGTAAACTATCTGTCATGTTAGGGCTTCTGTAGTTTCATGATTACGTACAATACCACAATCAATAGAATTTATATTGTGGATAGTTATTTAAAGAGAACTAAATCTGATGAGGCAAAAGTTCACAAACTTTTTCAAGGAAAGGTATTTGGTTGATTGTCTTTACTTTCCTCAGGAGAGTTTTCTCTGGAACTAAAGACAGATTAAAGGTCAAAATGATACTGTTCCAGTCACTAACAGAGATGTGGGCAACTTGGATACAATAGATTTCAATGGTGACAGCTTTTCATGGCAAAAACAAATATTAAAACGACCATAGAAATTGCTCAAAGCAGTGCAGCATAATTTACTTCCCCACTGCTGATTAATATGCTCAGTTTGTTCTAAACACTTATCATTTTATGACTTAATACTCAGCTTCCATATGAGCACAATAACACATTGTGGAAGCTGTCAAGTGTACTCAAAAGTAACACATAGAGATCTTGTGACAGTCAGTATTCACTTGGCACATTTTTCACTGAACAAGCCAACTATCAATCATAAGTAGAAAAATGAACTATCACCAAACACACACACCAACAGTAACCTAAACTTGGGAGTAATTTAATATTCTATCCTGTGTTTGAATGGGTACACATCCTGATGATGTTAATATTTTGACATCATTTTCAGTGGTATACATCAAGGATTAACAACAAATCCCAAAGTAAGATCTGACGCTTAATGCTAAATAAAAACATATGTTATCACTTTGTATTGCTGTGTTGAATTGTGCAACATTGACTATTAGTTTGCTTCTGTTTCAGCGCACATAGTTTATAAAGTAAATAGTTACATATTGGTGTATATATTTTGCAGGATTGTCAAGATATTTATTTGACCAGCAAGCAGATGAGTAATATGATTTTTGGAAAATATTTGCCTGTGTGATGGCAGTTCTGCACACAAGGTTGTGCTATTGCACCAGTCCAGCGTAACTAAAACTGAAACAAAAATTGTGGTCACTCCCTGGTCTAACACCGCCCACGTGTGTAAAATGGACTACTCAGAGATTTGATATCTCCAGTAGTTAGTTAGACATGTTATTTATTGTTTGATGCACATACAAATACCCTGCCCTCTTGTAATATATTGGACAGACAGTTGCAGTTTAGGCCACATGTTTTTGATGGTTAAGTTGTATGTTATTTTAAGACAATGTTTAGCTTCCACCTTTTTCTTTATTGTGTCTAATTATTAGACAGAGATTATTAACCTTGTTCTAACACAAATTTTCCAATGGGCTGTTCACTGTGTGCCTTTTTATTTATAAAGAAAGAATCTCTATTTCAAGTGTTTCAAAACACCTGTCACCTGTAGACAAGCTTGTAGTCCTCTCCGTTTGTTCTTACACTTAAGGTTGAATTGATGGTTTCTCACTGAGACATGAATAATTGAACAGAAACATGTAGGATGGTTTGTTTGAGTGAAGGACAAATTCATGAGTTGCTCTTATGAATGTTATTCCTAGACCCTGACTCTGAAAGACACCTCCAAGTACGGTACATTTGTCAACAGCCAGCGCTTGACAGAGAACACACCAGTGAACCTGAAGTCAGGCGATAATGTTACATTTGGGGTTTTTGACAGCAAATTCAGGTATGAAATTGAAACTACACATGTCAAGTTGATGTTTTATATCACAGAACCATGCTTTTGTTTTGATCACTAAGTCTGCCGTCGTCTTTTACTTTTAATTGCACTCACACCTAGTTTCATTTAACCCCAATTTTAGAAAATTCTCAATTTAACTCAACAGTTGATATGAATTGTATTCATTCTAAACCTGCTGCATTATAA